GACGGACGACGGGCGACGGCAGATATGGAATTCCATGGGATTAGGCATCAATATTAATTTTACCCTAACAATCATATTGCAAACACTATGGTGTAGTTGATCTGGTTTTGGGTGATAGAGCCGGGTCGGTTTACTCGCCCCATGCAGTGTTACACGTAGAATTGTTGAAATGGTCGATCGAGGCTGAGTTTGTTACGGACTGAAAAACGTCTTTATACCTGTTGACAGAAAGACGGTACGTCAAACCACCTCGAAGGATCGGCGATGCCTCTCTTGAAGTTGACAAAAGACGTGGAACTGACGAGCGGTATTGCTGTCGATCAACAAAACCGTAACATTTTCCCATAATTTTGTTGGAGCACAACAATACGAATAAAGAATGAGAAATGAGGCACTTCCTCGAGGGACACGCCAACGGGAGAATGTAAAGCTCTTTGAACGTCTCTGTGAAAGAACTCATTTTTCTTCAATTAATTTGATGTAGTGTTGATTCATTTCAGTGGCGTAAATTTGTGTCAGCGTTTTAGCTATCGTCTTCTCGAATAAAGCATGACGTCATATGTAGGAATCCCTTCGTTATTTAGATCAGTGTGCATACGAACGCAGCGCACATTCTGAATATTAAAAAAGACAGCGTAAGTAAGTTGTTATCGAAGTGGTTGTCGACATGGCCAACAACAGCAGCAAATAATGAGGAATTGTTTTAAAGCTTTAATGGACGTGAGGACCTCTGCAAAGGGAAGCAGTTTATCCGTGGCCCAACTATGCGAATATTGATGAGGTAGTTCGACCCGAAGATTAATAGATTCAGCAAACTTCGACCAGTTTCGGGAAATTCCGCCCCCTTTTAATCATGTGACCATGGTGGCTGCCGGAACTATATGTTTTAAAAAAGTAAGTATCTTTTGGTCTAGGAACTCAGGACTAGACAGAAGGGATAACGCCGCTACAGCAGTGTTGGCTAGGACTTACGTGGTTCGGTTTGTGTAGCCTCACCCACCAGCAAGGTACCAGCGAAGATGCAGTTTCCGTGAGTGACGGACATGCTAACATTTCCACTGACGACCTTGGGCTCATCGACGGGGAAAGAGAAGGTGTCTAGGGTCAGTTCGTTGTCCCCAAGATATGAACTACCATCGAAGTGAGCGGTCTCTGCATACGCCAGCAATGGCAGAAACCATGAATATGTACAGATCATTTGTAAATTATATTTGTTTGGAGATGAAAGGTCATGGTGGAGTGGCCAAAACGTCTCCTTAATGAGCATGTCCGGTATTCTAACAGCACATGCCCAACTGAAGCCTGTCCGAGGTCATTGGACACACGTGCGAGGTCTGCCCTATCAGCGCAGACTCATGCGCGAGCTTTGTTCCCGAATGACCTTGCTGTTTGACATACCGAACTAGCTCATTCCAAAGGAGGAAACTACGGACCTGACGTCTTGTGAAAATGACTGTACATTTCGATCGAGGTGGTTCGAAAAAGTCCCTCTTCCAAATGAAACTCGTGTGAATCGAATTCGTCTGGTCTGAGTTAAAGTTGGAGTCGGGAGGGAATGAATTTCCACGGGACTAGAACGGGATTTTAATTGACAAAATTCTTTTCTCTTCCGAATTAAGAGCGCTTCCAGCTTATTTTGAAGTATGGTTTGCTTTCACTAGGGAAACAAATTTCAGCTTATAGTCTCATTTCAGACACCGTGGATCTGTGTATAAAAAGACGACTAAAAGTCTACTGGGTACAGTCCCGGCTTAGAAAAAGACTAACCAAACCAACGGACCAGACATACATGAGTGATATTATAAATACGACTATTCTTCGTAAGTTACGCTTCAAATGTAACAGATTTCCTAATAACAAAAGTCCTGACAAATAATGAAGCAGAAGTCTAGCTTTATTCAAATTTATTGAAAACCCTGAAACAAAGACGGATTTTTTCCTCACTTGGAATGCATTGCATAAACTCCCCACGGGCTTCAGTCTTGGTGCAATTTTGCCCAATGATGGTGTACATGACATTCTGAAATACAAAATACGTACAAAATGTAAATTATAAAGCGTGAAGTCATGTGATTCTAACTTCTACGGTTTGATCTTTTCATTTGCAGAAGTGTTCCCTTCAACACTTGAAAAACAATCCAGGTCATCTGACTAGTGAATTCTTAACGTTTACGCCATATACAGTTCCATCACAACGGGCCTCCAGTGCCTAGTATCATAGAACCATGCATGATTGTCTTTGGGATCGAATCTTCCACGGGCAACCTCAAGAAATTATTCGTGACGTTTTCGTAAAAAATGACACCATGTAACACGCTAAACAACTCTTCGCCCACTGCTCGATGAAATGCAGACAACGTGACAAGAATCGGGCGTGGCTGGGGCACTGCAAAACAGGGCCATGTAGGAGCTCTTGTCGGTCAAGCACAACTGCACGAAGCGCAAAGCCCGGTTAAATGCTGTGAGCGCAGCTCTTTGGCCAATATGGCTGACGCCTAAAAGGTCATCACAAAAGTGAGCGTTTCTCCTTTTTTACTGAGGAAGAAATTTCAAAACTTGTCACAATGTTGATGTGTGACTAAGAATTAATTCTATCAAACGATAAGAGCAAATTTACACGACATTCCAATATCCAATATCATCTACTGAAAAGCATGAATTTATTTGAAAGTAACAACTTTGTCTGGCGATTTAATGTCAGACTCACAGAGGAAAATGGGGACTTGTACACAAAGGATTCATTTGCGTATCTATATGCAAGTGTTCCATATTTGTTAAACAGGTGGAATATTTCCACTTTGTGATGGATTAGATGTTCCGTTTTGTCATTTACATGTAGTAAAATTACCACTGCACTCATTAGCATCCACTATTGTTGTAACATTGGTGGTTGACTGGTAATCGATAGGAAAGAATTAATAAATATGGGCGATTCACAATAGTGCGCCTCCAAGAGTTTGCTACGCGTTGGCCAATCACATTTAATGGCTGAGTTCGGGCGGGTTGTTCTCGTGTTTTCACAAACAGCTCGATTTGTTGTTCGGCTCGAACGTCGCTCGAACGTCGGGAACGTACAACCGGTTATCGGTACTAGTTATTTGTAGCTGCAAGCAACATATCGTTGTCCCTGTGCATTCTTTGAAAGTTAATTTTTGGATAATTGGGCTAACTTCTTTTCAATTAAAAATAATTTCTGTCATGGAAAATTATTGTTAATTTTAGAAAGTTTCCCTTGTTTCCAGCTTTTTAAGCCATCTCGATAGGTTTTGCAGCTTTTTAAAAATCAAATCTCACGAGTTTTTCCGTGTGTTCGTGTAAAACCCTGACGAGGAGGCGTGTGAACCTGTTCCGAGAACAGTGTTTTTGGGTCATGTTCCCGCTGTTCGAGCGCGAGAACACGAAACTCGTTCAAGAACAGGCCGCCCGAACTCGACCAATACGCGAGTAACAGTAACCTGTCGAAAAACTCTTGGAGGCGCACTTTTGTGAATCGCCCGTATGGAAATCATCAACCTTACCTTCTTTTTATCTATGATGACTTTTATCTTTGTGAGTCTTCCCAAACTGTATGAATCGATTTCTTCCCCTAGCCTTTCATTTGTGAAGTCAAAGGCTATGTCAACAAGGTTAAGCTGGGCTAGTCCCTGGCCGGAGGGCAACTTTATACCTTGGAGCTGATCTGAGTATAAAACGCACAAAATGGTACGGACATGAATCGCAGGGTTCACGGTATATCCTCCACTTTTTAAACTGGGAGGGGCTATTGAATCAATCCCCCATTTTTGTTCTGAGAAAAAAAATAAGGCAGATTGTGTAGAACCTTACAGACTTCCCAACAACCAAACTGCATTCAATAGCACTCAAACGGGGGAGAGCAGTCGAAAGCCATGAATTGACCTTTCTGGAGTAAGTTTCTGTAGGAATGTGAAACCAGTACATCTGTATCATGAACACCGTCCCTATAGTGTAACATGGTGTCAGCCACCCCTCCCTCAAATTTCCATGGCCGAACACTTCAAAAGCTGTGGTGTTAAAAACAACACTTTTAGTGAAATCAGATGACAGCACTATAAGGTGTTACTTTAACACTACTGGTGTTACTTTACACACCTAAAAGTGTCAAAATGCATTGGAAGGTGTTAAAGTGACACAAAAAGTGTTGAGATAGCACCAGAAAAACACCACTGAAAGATGTTGGTGTGGTCCTCTGATAAAACGCAGGTTTAATGTAACACCCGGTTTTTGCAGTGAGCAAGTCCCCTCAATTCCCTCATCCCTCAAGGTCCGGCATAATTTACGCCACTGCAAAATGGTCATTGCTGAAATCCAGTGGCAAACAAACACATCAATCAATCCAAAACAACTCTTTCGTGATCTTTTTTGGGGGGTGTGTGCTATTTTTGTCAGTGACATCATTTGCCCCCTAAGCAATTCTTCCCAATCCAAACTTAGGCTCCTTTCGGCAAAGAACCCTCGGACCGTGGCGGCATGCACAATTATTTCCACAAAATTTCCCACTGATCTTTACTACTCACTTCGACTGAAAAACATCGATCATGCAGTAATATGTACACAGCAGATCAGCATGATAATTTGTGGAGACCAGCGGGGTGCAGAATGATGCTAGATCATTACTCAATTACTCGGAAAGAGGGGACTTAGTAGGCCTATGGGGTAGGGAATGAAAACTTGGCCAAAATTATTTAGACCTGCACCTTGACTCCTAACCTTAATGGATTCCTTATTGAATGCACCGACGAAGCCTTTCGCTTTCCTGAAATTTGCGTGATGTTGCAGCACAGGTATTAACAAGATTTATTATTAAGCAGGAACGACTTTACATAACAGTGCAAATGGGGGGCCAACGAAAGAAAAATGATCTCATTTTTCCCCCTGAAAAATATGCGCATAAGGTACACACAAAGTACATGTACACGTACATGCACGTGCGTATTCATCACGCGTATACACGTAGTGGTCTGAAACTGTTACAACAAAAGTCAAGGGTGGAACTGCGGCATGAAAAGCCGCGGCCCGAAATTACACACGACTCTACGATTGTGGCCACAGACAGTTCCCACAGAGTCGTGTATAAGTTCAACCCACAGCCACATAAATCGCACGCGGCCTCAGTTTCCAGTGTTGTTTCTGAACTTGGGAGAAAAGGCACAAACTGCAAAAACCTAACTGGGTCTTTTGGAACAAATTTTACCTGCGCGGATTACGAATTGCGGTGCCGTGCAGCAGTAGTTATCGGCGTCAGCAACCAAGACGGTAGCTGCCAGCAGTGCAACTAGACGCACAACGGAACAGGGATTCATCTTCACGAACTTTCAGTCTAACTGAAGTCAATCTTATGCTTGTTAGAAGCAATTGCCGACCCAAATGGGCTTATTCTAAACTAATGACTGCGTGCCTGTGACGTGAGAGTGCGACTTCGATTTGCTTCCAAAGATCGTATACTTCCAACCCCGAAGCGATTTTTCCCCGTACCACATATTAACTATGGTTCCATTGTGTTGCGCACAAATGGTCATGCATGAGGTTCAGAGGTCAAAAGATATAATAAAATCGGCACCTCAATTTCGCTTGCTGTGTACATGTACATGTACTGTACATGTACATGCACATGTGTACATGTACAACCGCGTACAATATCAGCGAGTACTTGAAGTTAGTCGGCTTTTTTAGTTCGTGAACGTCGTGCATGTAGCCGCTGCGATGAAGTCCTCGGTGCCCAAGCTGGCATTTAGACCCATTGTCAGGGGCGGATCTAGGGGGCGTAGGGGCACACGCTAACCTTTTAACCCAAAAGTGAATGAATAAATGAATCAATTAATTTCAAACAGAAGAAGAGGGATGGAGAAGAAAAAAGAGGAGTCAAACTGCCTGAAATTGCACCCCAGAGCGGCCTAGAATCCAAAAATGACACTGATCAGATGCCGTAAGGGCTGCGCTTCGCGCTACTCGCTCACGCGGGCCTTCTATCATTGCTGTTTCCGTTCACACCCCACCCCCTTTGGAAAATCCGAGATTCCCCCCTCCCCCCTTTGGGAAAATCCTGGATCCGCCCCTGATTGTCGTCGTAGTTGTGGAATTTTGAGCTGTGTTTTGAATAAAGTCTTCAAGTTGCTTGAATGATCACACTCATACCCCCTCATGTTAAACCAATGAGATTCCTACGATTGCAACATAACGGTTAAATTTAGCTTCATCTTAAACGTGGGTTGACCACTTTAACATTAGCTACGAAGGCCAACAATTTTTAAGCACACGTAGCCCACTTGAAATAAAGAATTCTGTGGAAAGAGAACTGAGCCCTGCTCAGTGTAGTCCCTTGTTGTGTTCCTTACTCCATGGGGGAATCATGTTCATTTCTTTATGCAACGTACATGTACATTTACATTGCCATGTACATGTAAGCCCAGGGCTGTTGTTGGCAGCTATGGTTTGAACTTCTTTGTATGATTGAAATCATTTATGGCACTGAGCTAGATTTCCCAGTCGGCTGTCATGTACGCGTACAATAGTCACGCAGACAGAATTTAATATACATGTACTGTACTTCAAAGTTCAAGCATAAACTTGCAACTTGCTTTCAACTTGAACACCGTGAAATAGTGTGATGTGTTGAGTACACTGTCATCATGTACGATGAGCTGAGGGCGTAAAACGCAAGTACAGCTGGCGGCTAGCTTCTGGGTCAAAACTCTCTCATGAATCATGTATGACTTAATGTAAACTTGGCCCAACCAGACGGTTTTATTTACACCTATGGCGAATATGTGGTACGTTAAAGAAAATCAGTGCCCGGAAGGCCAAGGGCAAAGTTCGTGCGTGTACGAATACACCTGGGCACGTGATAATTACAAGACCCGTCAAATATAACAGCACTTCAGATAAATGCAATCAGATTTTAGATATTATTCACTCACTCTCGTCGTGTTTTGTTTCAAACTTTGTTTTAAGCTTCTTGCATTAATACAACTAGCAAAAATTTTGACGATTTGTTCTTATGTTTTGGTCAGCTAGTTTTGAGAAAAACCATCAGACAAAATCCTTTTCATTTGTTTATGGTTGTTTCAACCCCTTCGATTTTAATGGAATGCCCCTACTCCTCAAAGTAAAACAGTCTTTCGTACATTTGGTTCTTCACTATCTTTTCTCCTGTATGGTATACTCCCTTTATTTGGAATCACACCGGGCCTTTTATTCACTTAATTACAGGTCCTTTCGAGAATTGGGAACTATATTGTATAAAGTATGGTTGGAGTTAGGAGCCTGTTCATAGGTAGGCCTTCTTTCCCTTCCTCGGAAAGAACTTGTCACCCCAGATAATAATTCCCTTAGTGCACTGCTGATTCCATATGTTTCTATTAATAAATTCTATTAATGAGTCTGTTTCTTTTGTTTTCTTTCTGTGGGATGGTAAGGGTAAAAATAATACCAGAGAACAATTATATTGCCGGGAGAAATCCGCATGGTTCCGACGAGTGAGATTTAAGTTTGATAAGCTCCCGATGTCTCAAATTTAGACAAAACCAAAGGCCAGTTTTGTTAATTGAGTTGGACACAAAGGATAGTTTGACAGCCACCTTGCTCTACCTAAGCCATCCGGAGCTAAGAAACTACGTAACGGTTACCATCAATTCAGGCTTGAAAGGGAGCAGAACTCAACCAAGAAAAAACATCCAGACTTGAAGAAGCTCACAGGTTAACTACCTTATTTCTGCTTTATTTCAACTGAATAACAGTGTAAAATGTTCCATTTGTGTGAAATTTGAACATGTCAGAGTTACAGAATTCTATATATTTATATTATAAATAAAACTTTGAGTTTTACAAGTTATAAGTAAGGCTGGTTACATACACTGATTGTTGATGTACCTTGTTTTTTCCTGTATAGTTTGGAAATTAAGGAATCCATACTCAGAAGGTTTTGTTTATTCCCGTAAATTAAGATGTCCGCTCGATAGTGCTTACGACTTAACATGTCAATGAGGCGACCAGAACTACCTGAGTAGCTATACCCAAACCTTTGTACTTACTACCTGAGAAGCCCTTATGGCGCGGCGAAAGTAACCAAAGAATCGAATAAATTGCAGGGACTACCGGAGTATCGTTTTAAGTGACCTGTACTGATTACCTCTATTCTGACCTGAGTTATCTAATCACGTTACCACTTACCTACAGCATTAAAGGAACCGCAAATTTGAAACAATTTAAATCCTTTTTTAAAGTCTGACAATTAAGTGGCACTTGTAAGCCTATAGCCTGTACCCTTGTGAAAACAAAACTTAAAGTGAGGTCTGAATTTACATCAAGTCAGAGGTAACTGAAAATCGAGTACGTGTTTTCCTTTGTGGCTCTGAAACAAGCTTTAGATATTGGATTTCCTTTGCCAGATGTAAATAAACTGTGAAGATCAGCAGCCGAGATGGAATGAGAAACTCATTTTGAGTGACGTTTTGAAGTTGCATTCTTACAAACACTATATTGAAAATGAGATTTGGTGGAGCTGTATTTCTCGCCACTTTTAGAATTTTTTCTAGCGCAAGCTTCAATAAAACAACTGACTTGCTATCAGCATCTGACGGACGTGCTTGAGGGTCCTAATTTTCTTATTCTCCAGGCTTCAGCGTTGTTCTCTAATTGCATTTAGTCAATTTACACGAAGGTTTCGTATGCACTCTCTTTTTGTGTATCAGTGTCCTCACTAGGGTGAAAACATCTACATGTACATACCAGTTGGAACTTTAGAATTCAGTTGTTTAATGTTGTTTTCAAGGCATTCTGTTGGAAACGAAGGCCTGAATGGTTAAAAACAAATCTCTTTACAATCCCGGGTGCGCGCTTGAATGCAAACATCTTTCCTCCACTAGAGGATGCATACGATCACGGCATTTGTTAGGCTGCAAGGCTTTTTTTTAAGATCTGAGTACAGGTGCCACTGTGTTGACCCTACAGCAAGAAGTTAATGTTAATCTTATGATTTTTGCAATCAATACGGTCTATTTCCTCTCATAGGAAGAATTTCCAAGGATTTTCTATGGATTATTCTGCTATAATTGCGATTAAGGCTTTCGTTCTTTTCTCGCCGGTTCTTCATTGCTTGCTTGAAGGCTTTTGGGGCTTCAGCACCTTGGCATGCCCTACATCCGGCAGCATCATGGTGTTGAAGATTGACACCAGCTTCATGACGTCCTTGTGATCATCAGAGACGGGGCGCACGGAGCGTCTAGCTCTGGTAGACTTTTCCTGTGCCAAAGAAAAATATCGTTATGTCAATTCGCCTTGGGCAGAAGCACCCCCCCATCGGTTGGAAAAAGCCAAGTGGCGAGTGCTCATTTTATTGGTTGCGATGCGACCGCAAGGCATACATTTCATAGTTGTTCGTGAACCAGTGAGGTGCAGTTCCCACCTAAGGAGCCTCCATTACTTCGGGAAATTGCGCTCTCCTTCGGTCCTGCTCGAGGCTGATAGACCGATCCAGTTAGCCCGCGTACAGTACATGTGGGCAATGAACACGTGCTTCTGTCCAAATCTACGCTACATGGTGCAGCCGTAGGCGTTCCGAGCATCCATGTCTAGTCTTGGTTCCAAGACCTTTCAGTAGTTTATTCCGAGACACAAAACTATCACTCATACGCACAACAACAGGGCGCTATCACCACATCGTTATCTTCCTGTGATTCCGATTCGTGTGGTGATATTATCACAATATACGTGTAATCATTCGTGTGACGGAATAAACTACGGTCTTGGAAACAAGACCAGTGCATGTATGTCGGACACAAATCACAGCTCTGATGGATCGAATAACTAGGCGAGGCCTTAATGAATCGATATTTTGACGAATGAATACATTATTAAGTATACAAATATTGACTGCTTCGAGTGGTTAGCTTCTCAAGGCGATTAATGCATGGAGAATTTTATTTTCTCGAGGCAAAGCCGAGGGAAAATGAAACGTACGCGCATGACACAACATGAAATGGTCATTATTTGGTTTATAACACCCCTTTCACAAATTTTGCTTGATTTAAGTGATAACTGATGAATTTATTCCAACTACATAGAAAAATAGCCTACGTCAGTTTGAATAAGAAACTTGTTAAAAATTTACGAGCACACTGTTCCACGCTACCTCTTCACGAATTGTTTGAACCCGGCTATGTATAGATAGCGCTTCGGCATGCGCGTGACGCGCACATTTGCAGACAGTGCCGCTGGTCGTGCGTACAGTTCTTTGATTGCTACAGGTAAAGTACTTTGGTTGCTAGTTCTTAGCGACTGGTTTTCGATCAATCAAGGTACAGAATCTATGGGTGAAGTTTTCCAGCTAATGATTGTGCAGATCGTTCTTCTATCAGGTACGCTGTTGTCAAAGGAACTAGTCACATTTTAGGTCAGTTGTAGGCCTACACCTTAAAGCCAAAGGCACCCTTTTCCAGGTTTATTTTCTTTGAGTGGCAACAGGAACCCCAGGGTCATATTTTCAGGGGGGGCACCTCTTTATTCTCCACATGTCTGAAATGTAGTGATCGTGTCAGAACGAAAGGATAATATAGTATTCGACAATGGGAAACAATGAATTTTTCTCTCGTAAGCGATGTGAGATCAAAGAAAGGTTTGGATATAGTTGCTGAGGTTGCTGAAATTCTGTGGTTTCGGGCGTGATACCCGGCAGCAGGGCTTCTAATCGATGATGGTTTCAACGAAAGTAGGCCCTACATGTATTGCCAAATTGGGTAACTTACAGCTGAAAAGGTGCTGGACGATTCGACGAATAGGACAAGTGCTGATCCCACTTATATTGATTTTTTGTATTCAACCACACTTATTTTATTTGGGCTCAGGATGGTATCAGTGTTAATTTCACTCTAGCTATCATGTTGCAAACACGATGGTGTAGGCCTAGTTGATCTTGTTTTGGATGACAGAGCCGAGTTGGTTTTCCTGTACACATTACTCATCCCATTACACGTAGTATTACACGTAGATTTACTGAGAATTGTTAAAATGATCGATCGAGGCTGTTTGTTTGGGACTAAAATTTGAGACTTGCGTCGGTGTTACTTATCTGGCAGCAACACTCCCTGATTCGGGAAAACACGTCTTTATACCTGTTGACAGAAGGACGGTACGTCAAACCACCTCGAAGGATCAGCGATGCCTCTCTTGAAGTTGACGAAAGACGTGGAACTGACAAGTGGGATTGCTGTCGATCAACAAAACCGTAAAATTTTTCCATGATTTTGTTGGAGCACATCAACACGAGAAAGAATGAGAAATGACGTACTTCATCGAGAGACACACCAAAAGCAGAATGTAAAGCCCTTCAAACTTCTTGCTGCGAAAGAATTCATTTTTCTTCAACTGGTCAATTAATTTGATTCAGAGTTGATTTATTTCAGTGGCGTAAATCTGTGTCAGCACCAGGTAGCCAACAGCCACTAAATTACAGCATGACGTCATGTTCAGGATTCCATTCTATTTTTTAAAATCATCGCACACACGTCTGCTACTACATGTATGTACATTTTAAAACAGTATATAATTCAAGTTGTTCAGAAGTGGTGATCGACATACCCAACGGTACCAGAAAATACCGAGGAACTGTCTTCAAACTGTAATTTACATGGATAAATCTGCAAAGAGAAACAGTTTATATGCGACCCGAAGTTGCCGAATATTGACGAGGTGGGCCAACCCAGAAATTAATGTAATGAATTCAGAACATATCAACCAGTTTCGGGAAATTCCTCCGGTTTTAGACACGTGACCAGAACTAATCTTTTTTGATCTGGGAACTCAGGACTAGACAGAAGGGATAACGCCGCTATAGCAGTGTTGGCTTAGACTTACGTGGTTCAGTTTGCGTAGCCTCGCCCACCAGCCAAGTACCGGCGTAGATGCAGTTTCCGTGGGTTACGGATACGGTAACATTTCCACGGACGACCTTGGGCTCATCGAGGGGGAAAGAGAAGGCGTCTAGGGTCAGTTCGTTGTCCCCAAGGTATGAACTACCATCGAAGTGAGCGGTCTCTGCATACGCCATCAACAGTATAGCAAATATGAAAATGTACAGATCAAGAGCACAAATTGTATTTCTTGCAAATCAGAAGTGGCCCAAACCTTCTCTCTCACTGAGGGAAACTGGGAGCTAAGGTCTATCTTAGAGTGAAAAGGGCTCTAACTTTCGATTAAGGTGGTTTGAAAAAAAATCTCTCCAATTGAAGTTCCAGTGAAATCTTATTTTACTCAGTCTTAATGTGGGTGACTTTCAGTCGAATTCGTCTCGTCGGAGTGAATTTTCACTTGACTAGAATGAGATCTCAGTCAATTTCAATCGACTGAAAGGAACCTTTTCTCTTCGGAATTAAGAGGGCTTCCAGCCCATTTCGAAGTGTGGTTTGCTTTCATGAGGAAGTAAATATGACAGATTGGTCTGATTACAGTCTCCTTCTAGACACCGTAGATCTGTGGCACTACTACAAGTCTACTACGTAGTTTCGGATTAGAAAAAAAAATAGCCAAAATACAATTACCGGCATGATTGAATTATATACCATGTCTAAAAATTATGATACACAAAATGTAACAAATTTCCTTGCCACCAATGTCATGACAAATAACAACGTGAATGTCTAGCCTGATTCCAATATATGAAATATCCCCAAACAGAGACGGATTTTTTTCCTCACTTGGAATGCACTGCAGGAACTCCCCACGGGCTTCAGTCTTGGTGCAATTTTGCCCAATGATGGTGTACATGACATTCTGAAATACAAAAAACGGGTATTCGAAAGCGTGGAGTAATGTAAAAGTGACTTCAAATCAAGTTTGATCTAACCATTCACAAGAGTGCTTCATACCATTTATTGCAACACGTGAACAAAATCCAGGTCGTCTGACTGGTGTGTCTCAGGTTGCATCCAAATCCGTTTTCTTTAGTCAGGTCTAGGTCTTCACTCAACTGGAAATACTCGAAGACGCGCAGACAATAGACCTAGCCACAGCTCTAGAACCCGTTTCAGACACGGCCGCAAAATTATGCGTCTGCGATATATGTGCGAGTCTTCTATCACAGTGGGCGTCCTCAAGCATGACCGTGCACGACTTTATCTTTTGGGATCGAGTATTCTACGGGTAACCTCATGTTATTATTTTTACCATTGTAGTCAAAAACATATATAACACCCTAAACAACTCTTGGCCAACTGGTTGGTGAATTACAGACCACGTGACACGAATCACCAGGACCAAAGCATGCACAGCGCAAAAAACAAAAACTGCACGAACGTGCAAAGCCTGGCTAAATGCATCGCAGCTCTTCGCCCAATATGGCTTACGTCTAAAAAGTCACAAAAGTGAACGCTTCTACTTAGACTGAAGAAGAAATTTCAGAACTTGTCACAATGCCGAAACGTGACTATCAACCGATAAGATTAATTTACACGACATGCAAATCATATTGAAAAGCACGAATTTATTTGAAAAGTAACAGCTTTTTCTAGCGATTTTGGGCCAGGCTTGTAGAGGAAAGTGGAGACTTATACACAAAGCTTAAGGATTTATTCGCATATATATGAATGTTTCATAGGCCTATGCGTGTAATAGATAAAATTTCCACTCCGTGGCAGATTAGATGTTCCATCTTTCACCTAGTAAAATTACCACTGCATTCACACGCATTCATTATTGTTGTATAACATTTTGTGGTTGACCAGTAATAAAGGGAAAGAAATGAACAGGCCCTAGATTCAGGAAAGAAATGATGAACCTCACCTTCTTTTTATCAATGATGACTTTGATCTTCGTGAGTCTTCCCATACTGTAAGAATCAATTTCCTCTCCTGCCCTTTCATTTGTGAAGTCAAGAGCCATGTCGAGAACGTTCAGCTGGGCTATTCCCTGGCCAGAAGGCAATTGAAGACCTTGGAGCTGATCTGAGCACGGAGGAAGCAATAGAGCTCACAAAATGGTCATTCCTGAATTCCAAAAGATAGTCACACAGATCAATAAATGTATAAAACAACTCTTTGATGATCTCTTGAATTTGGAAGAAATGTGCCATTTTTGGTTACATTTTGCCCCAAGCGATCCTGAGGGTAAAATTGCTTTATCGAAACTATAGGCACCCTTGCGCAAAGAACCCTTAGACGACGAACAATTACTAATCTTTTGCACAGAATGAATAAACAAAATTAAATTAAATTTTAAAAATTCGATCGTGCAGTAATGTGCATACAGCAGATCAGTGCGAGGATGATCTTTGTTGAGACCAGTGGGCCGGAAAATTATTGTACAAACGAAACAAAATGAAAAAGGTAAAAAAAAAATAGGACAAAAAAGACGGACAAAAACAAACAGAAGCAAAACTGAATGAAAAGTTATTTTGATAGACTTTGAATAACTTTGAAGACATATTACCATTCAATTAGTTGGAAAGAGGGGGACTTAAGAAGCGGGAAATGAAGGCTTGGCAAAAATTATTGCAATCTACACTCTGAATCCCAATTTCAATTGATTCCATACTGAATGCACGTGATCGAAGAAGCCTTTTGTTTCCTGAAAACTGCGCCCTCTGAATCTGTTACAGGCCTAGGCGAATACTTTCTCGTGGTGTGATGTTTCAGCACAGGTAATAAGATTTATTATCAACTAGTAACGACTGAGACCAAGAATGTACATATGACGGTGTGACTGGATGGTTCACGTAAGAAAAATCTTAATTATTGAAAATTAAGACGCCTGCCGCCGATACAAGAAAAGTCCAAGGGTAAAACTGCAGGCTGTAGCATATAAGTTTCCAGTGTTGTTTCTAAACTTGGGAGAAAAGGCACAAACTGCAAAAACGTAACTGGGTCTTTTGGAACAAACTTTACCTGCGCGGATTACGAATTGCGGTGCCGTGCAGCAGTAGTTATCGGCGTCAGCAACCAAGACGGTAGCTGCCAGCAGTGCAACTAGACGCACAACGGAACAGCGATTCATCTTCACGAACTCTCAGTCTAACTCAACTCAATCTTATGCTTGTGAGAAGCAATGACTGACTCAAATGGGTAATACTTTGGAAATGAACTGCATGTAATACTCGTGTGACTTCAATTTGCTTCCAACGCAGAAGGCAAAGAGCAAAGTCCATTGTGTGTTTCAAAACTACCCAGCGCGTGATGGTCACAAGACCAGTGAATTAATAATAGCGCTTTCGATATTGCGATCACGCGCTCTGAAAGTAGACTGTTCCTAGCAATGTCTGCTATGTTAGGATAAGCTTATCTGTGACCTTCACTGCCAAAAACAGCAACAACGAAATGAAGGATTGTCCAAAAGTTTTTTTAAGCTGTGCGTGCATGCGCGTTCCCTCGGTGTCCTTGCTCTACGTTTAAACAATCACTTTCGTCAAGTGTTATGCAAAGTAGCGATACGTATAAAAAAAACGACTCACAAAGAAAAATTGTATGCCGTGAGGGGAAAAAAAGCTGATTAAATATCTTTAAGTCAGTTGTTCACAAAAAAATGGAAAACATGAAATGAGATTCAGACATGGTAAACATTTTAGGGCCTATGAATAGAAACTGAAATAATCGAATATTACGAAAGCCTGTTATTACCATGGCTAAGTTATTTTCGAATGCATTAATTTCGATTTTTTAATGCGGCTAATTTCAGTTTCGGTAATGTGGTGGTCCGACTTTGTCAAGTCTAGATTTAAGTGTTTTACTCTCTTAACATAATCCCAATAACTTACCCACTTCACGCATGTTAGCTAGGCCTAAGTCTCCCGTGGTCTTAATCATAAGGTACCAATATTCTCATTAATATGAGTCTGAAACAACGGGCATTAGACTGTTATTTCGTGCCGGACATGAGCCTAATTTTGCACACCTGTACGCGATAATCGTACATGACAATCTGCCCCTCTCCAGCAGTTCGTTCTGTCTGAACGTGAACTCTGTAAACAGAGAGAACAGATTGCACAACTTTCTCCGTTTTATGGGTACCTTACAATTTCCTCCCCTTTACCCATATTTTACAGTTTTGTCAATGGCCAGTGGTCCATGAACATTCTGCACTTTGTAAACAATTTCCAGACCATACGTTACTACATAGGCTTACACAATCATATAGCTTATTCATTACTCAATTTATTGCAAACTTAAACCAGCTTGTACGCTGTAGGACTACATTTTCATCAATCCATTTTGTCTACCCCAGTTACCAAGGTCAACGATCGTGTATTTTTTTCCCCATTTTTCTCAGTCTCAATACTGGAAAAGCTTCTTTGAATTTCGGTTTCTCAACTTGATCTCAAACCGTGAGTAAATCAATTCTAACCTCTTGTGAGGCTAATTCTTTTTTGCCGATTCTTGGTCTTTACGGGGAGTATTTTAATTGCCGAAGAGGTTAATACCCAACTTAAAACTAAGGCGTAGGCTACCCACCACCATAGGGTAACAGCACCCCACGTATAGCCGTGACAGTAACTCGAAACGACACAACATTTTAGTCGCCGGTCTTGCTGACAATTACAGGTCTGATGGCGGAAAGGCCGCGAAGGAAAATACTTAGATTAACCTAAGGCACAGGATGATGGCAGCCCCTATGTGCTCCTCGCCACTCAGAAAATAGAAAGAAAAATCTGGTGATAGTCCACCTTGGTCAGTGTTTTACTTTACACTCCGTGAGGTAGTTCAGATCTTGCTGTGCCCCCCCTCCGTATGGGGCTCCCAGTGCCCCTGCAAAATGTACACTAGTTACGCCCATTGATTACTGCAGGTTTTTGTTCAACGTTGAGGTTTTTCTCTCTGGAATGACGTCAAGGCTTTGCTCATGAATATGGAAATTTGTATCAGAATAAGAATAAAAAATAGGCAACAAAAAGACCTTTTTTTTAAAAAAGCAAAACAAAAATTGAAAAATCACTTTAAAAAGAAAGGTGCGCTGTGGTAGAAAAAAGCTACAATGTTGGCCATCTCTAGCTCTCCCGCACCGCATAACCAGTGGCGTAACTACGGGGTTGCCCGGGTGGGGGGGGGAGCACATGTTCACCAGCGGACGCCCGTGCGCCCCCTCCCCCTTTTGAAACCTGTGAATAATCTCCGTTGAGTCTTTAATAGCTATGCAGCTGTAGGTTCTTTTCTTGCGGTAGCCGCTTGAAAAATGTGTGCACCCCTGGGTGCCTCCCGTACATTTAGCCCTAGTCACGACACTGCGCATAACACCCACCTTCAGATTTTCCTCGGGGGTGGGAGGTGGGGAGGGTACGTGGCAAGCTGCGAATCATTATTTTGCTGTCAGTGAGTGCCCTAGGTATATGCTCCAAACAAGAAGTTTCACTCTAGCCACCTCGAGCAGAAGCACCCCTCGTCAGTTCAAAAGAGCCGCGTTTGTCGGGAGTGTTCAATTTTGTTGGTAGCGGATGCGACCGTGATGCGTGCATTTCCTCAGGCTAGTCGTTTGTGCACCAACGAAGTTGGAAATCAATATGGTACCGATATGTTGCCGAGAAAATAGCTCCCTCTCGTGATCCAGCTCGAGACCTGCAAAGGGTGCAGTCTACTAATTGAAGCGAGAATTTCCGGTCAGCTCATTAGCATTAAAAGTGCCCCCTCAGTTTCTTTTGAAAAAGGAGATTGTTTGGCCCCCCAAAGGGTGAGATTGTGTAAATTCTTAATTAGTAGGATCAAATTCAAAGGGGTTTGAGCTTCTACCTTTGAGTAGAATGGCTGAAAATTACGGTTGTAAATTGTTCCAGGTGCCCTAGAAAGTTGAGGGTTGGCACTTGATTAAAAATGGCTAAACGCAGACTTCGCAACTTCTCCTTTTTTTGGGGGGGGGTGGTTTTTTGTGAGTGAAAAAAAATAAAAATTTCATCGGTTAACCCCCCCCAACTTTGAAAAGAAATTGAAGGTTTAACGACAAAGGAATAATTTAATTTTTGTTTGACAAACCTCTGGGATGTTGGCTTGCATGTTATTTAGCCCTGAATAATATTGATTTTACACTGTTTCCAATGGGGCTTAAATTACTGGACTACACCCTGCAGTTGTGCCTTTTCTCCGTACGCACACGCTCGTACGCATGACACGCCCACTGATCACAATAGATATCGGCAGCGGCGTGGCTGGGGGGGGCGTGCGTGGGGGCCAGGGTACACCCCCCATGAAAAATCGCCTCCCCCCTCTTAGAATCCTGGATATCGGAAGAAGTGTTTTTATTCCGATATCTATGATCTCTATAATGAGATCATTGGACGCGACGCGTATCAGTATGTGCACATTGGCTTGGGTTTATTATAAAAAAAAAATTATTCGAAACTGGCCAAAGTTTGGTTTTCGTTTGCTTTCAGTGTCCTTTAATGATCTGCATCTGTGTACATAGGCTGGACCACAGATGGTTGAACAAAGTCAAAGTCAAAGTGCATTCCACCAAATTGTTGGATTTCAGCGTGCGAGCTCAATATTTTTTGTGATCCCACGGGGTTTTTACAATAAGACAGGCTATAATCAGGAGGGATCACAGAGATATTTCTACAAATGACGAATTTGGGGCTGGTAGTTTCCAATTCGGGGTATTTCTTTCACAAAAAGCCCCAATCGGTAGGCCTATTGTATAGCTAGGCGGGGGGCTACATTCAGAGATGAAAGCATAGTTTTACTCTTATTTTGGGGGTATCTTCTGGGAAAGGCGAATTTAAAAAATTGCGGGGCTAACCCCGACAAAATTGAAACAAAAATTGAAATTCTACGAGTAAACTTAAATTTCCAGTAAAAAAACGGAGGACAAGCTCTTCCTGAGAGTCAATAGGCGGCGCTATTTTGGCCAGATTTGTACTGTTGTCTGTTTTGGTGTAGTGCAAAGTTACGTAGAAGCAAAAGTCGCCAAAGGGGCGAATGGAAATTGATTGGGGCGAAGTGTCAAAGGCGACGTAGTGATTGACAGTGGGGCGAAGTGACAAGGGCGAAGCAGCACTACGTGTGCATGTGGAGCAATGGGGCGAAATAATTTGAATGCAAAGCTTAAAATATTGCTAACGCTGATGACAGGACGTACGGGAAGGAGGAAGCGAATGTTTTCTCAACTAAATGACTAGTTTGCAGCGTCTTTTTATCAAGAAAGAAGGGCACATAGTCTTCATGAAAGCAGATAGAATCTTTTCATAATGAAAGAATTCGTTTGTCGGCTCTGCATATGTCTCATTTTGCAAGGTAAAAATGTTATTGGAATTGTCATTTTCGCGTTGTCCTATTCACGATGTTGCTGTGGCTTAATCTGTTTACGTAGGCCTACACGTACATGTACAGGTATATACTGTACATGACTGTATGCTAAAGGGTACAGTCAGTTTTGGTGAATCGCACCTTTTAACATTTGGACGTGGTTGGCGTTGGTGGAGTCCCTAATCAGAATCCTCAGATTTCATGCCCCTAACCATCCTGAAACTCTCAAATGTGCCCACTTTTCACTTTGAATTGAAACAGTGGAATTTGTGAAATATAATAAATGTCCAGCTCTGATTCCCGGTGTTTATAGTCTCAGTGATGTCAACCTAGAATGAGATTTAACTTGCCTTTTGCAGTCCACCATGAATGATGATTTCCCAACTAGAATCACAAATGAAGCTCTTAGTGTAACCCACAAGATATGATACAGAAAGGCCCACTTTGCCCAAGGTTGCTGCATAGTAAATAAGAAAACAAATATTCATGAACCAATACACCCCCCCCCAAAAAAAAGAAACCAGCACGGTTTGCCCTCAAACTTGACAGTTTATGAATAACAGATGTACACGTACCTGGAAAAATTTTTCATGTTCTTATTGGATCGTATTTCTCTCCTTTCTTTTATTGGTGGCCAAAAGCTATTTGGCCTCATTGGGCTATCGCAATATTTGAGTGTCGCAAATGCCAACAAGTTTAAAAGGGTGTGTCTATTATTGTTATGGGAAAAGAGGTTTAGAAACTGGGAGATGAGGTTTGAAAAATAAAAATTGGGTAAACCTGTCATGTATAACACTGAAAAATAGTAGTGGTCCCATATGGAATTCTCTTTGATTGGTGTCGGTCATTGTTGGATGTTGTAGAGCTAATGAGACTTTCATGTTATGTTGACAGTTCTCCAAGCATCAGATGCTCTCCCTGGCCTGCCAGGGAGCTCAACCAACCGGACTGCAGCTCCCAATCCAGACTTGACTGGCTGGGATGTGCCCCACACAGGTAAGCTGAGCTCCTTTCCATCAGTGGCAATCCTATTCAAGTTGTTCCCCGAAGTCATCAAGTCTGTTCAATATTCAGTTGGGATAGCACCGTAGTGCTGTCTGGACCTCTGACATACATGTACATGTAGTCTCACTGAAAAGTTTAGGACTGTCGGTGTGTAGACTAATGTGACCAACAGAATCCGAAGCTGTGCATTGAACCATGTATTGAGCTGAAACTTGACTGCTGTGCACAACCTCGGATACGAGGTTGCGGTTAGGAATACGTGTGCCACCCAAATATTTTTCATGTGAATGTCAAGAGACTTTTCTTTACAGTGTTTGGCTGTAATTTTTTAAAATGGACCGAACTGTACCTGGCCTTTTATTCAAAAGTGTGGTTTGGGCTGAAATAGTACTGTCTGCTAGTGGTTATGAAGAGGTGTTCAGGAGCCACCTGTCCTGAGGACTGGCAGTTTTACTACAAACCCCCATTTTTCCCAGTTTCTAACACGGGTAAATAAATTTTTATAATCATCCATAGCACAGGGTGTGACAGAAATAGGCTCTGATAGAACCAAGGGATAACAGTTAATGAAAAGTTCGCTGGCAGCGGACAGGCGTTTTTTACCATATGAGAAGAGACAAGCAGATATTGCAATCCTAGAAGGAACCATGTTGAAGCTGCTTGCAACTGGCTTGCACTGCTAAATCCCAGGATTTACATGTAGGGTCTGTTTGTGCTCCCCGTTCTGAGGTGGGAGGTACATCTATAGTTTGAACCCAGCAGCAGGTTATAAGTTGTGATGTTTGGGCAAGTCACTTCACCCCTACCAACCTGTCTCCTCCCGGGAGTATAAATGTTCTTGTGAGGGTAGAGACAGTGTGTGCGCTGACACTGACCTCTAACTGGTTTTGCCTGATGATTCAGTTAACAATTAGAAAGTGCTTTGAGGTAGTTGGCAAGCAGATCCAGAACCAAACTTTTTAGGGAAACAAAATTTGTTTTTGGGGGGGGTCCAATAATATAGAAATATTCAATGTAAATCTTTTCTGGCTTTTCTAATGTTTGAAGCTTCTTCTTGGGGCTTTATACTTACTTTGGGAAGAAAGGGAAATGAAACAGACCAAGAAATGGGCTTTTTCTCATTCTTAAAAAAAAAAGGAATAATTGCCTGTTTCCCTCCCCTCCTTTCTTTGGTACTTTGGAAAGTGCTATACATGTATGGGTACTAAGCCTGTTCGATATTCAGTTGTTTTCATATTGCGATATGAAAAAATATATATTATATATATTATTATATATAATGACATTATCACGATGATGTAATTTTCCATTCATAAAATAAACACGACCGAAATCACCATGTCTCGAGTGCCATGTTAAAAAAAAAGAAAGATGTACAGGCCTATGTATTATTTCTACATTTAGAACTCTTATTATGTTGGTGGAAAGCAAATTTCAACATGGAAATGGTGGACATTAAATTATCATATATCATATCATGGCACCGTACAGAAAAAGCCATTTCCCCACACACAGTAGCGGTAAAGTTCGCTCATTAAGGCAACCCCCCAAATGGACAGAGCACATGCGTGCTACTAGAGGGGCTACTGGTATTGATGCCCTCACCTCATTTCTAAATTGTCATTTATTTCTCATAAGTAGGCATGTTTCACTCGGTCCCTTTTCTACAAGATCACAAAAAATCCTTCTTGTAAGTCGGCAATAAAAATATTGCGCTGCGATATCGGTTTCCTTTACTTCGGTTGCCTAGAAGTGTCAAGCGACAAGCCCCACACTGCCCGACTGATGCATGCACGTGGTTGAGTACATCAATACCAGGGACCCTTCTTGGGCTACATGCATGCACTCTAACCATTTTGGGGGTCGCCTTATTGAACGAACTTAACATGTAGGCTGTTTTCCAATACTCGACTTTGTCTCAGTTCAGGCTTCACCTGTTTGTTTACTACCTGACTTTGAAGTTGTAAGCGCAATAGCGAGTTTGATAGTGGCACTAAACATCAAGTAAGATGCAAAAGAGCCAAACATTACAGTTCTTCAATTTAATTGAAATGCTTCAGGCTCACAATCGGGAATTGGTGTTGGAGACGAAGCCTGAAATGGAGACGAAGTTGAGTATTGGAAAACGGCCATGTGCGTGTGCGGCACCCGGGCGCGGTATGACAATCTTGAGTCCCGAGTGAGAGAGCCAACTTACGTGTAGCTGGAGTGTACTGTACAATACATTACATGTGCATACAGTCTGTTGGCTTGGTTCGCCCCCTAACACTTGTAAGACCCTTGCAAGTGCTTGGGGCCAACAAAGACTTTGTGGTTTGAGGTTTTCAGTGGAGTATTTGTGTGACTGAAATGCAGGGCTCAATCCGTGGTGCATTGACTTCCCTATGTGCATGTACAGTACATCGTTTGGAGCTTATCACAATAATTTTTCGACCTATTGATTTGCACGATATCGCGATATGTGTTTTTACGAACGATACGATATCTGACATCAACATCATATCGAAATACCGTGAAATATCGTCATATCGAACAGGCTTAAGGTGCACTACAGTTCGTACATCCCTGTCATCTGATTGGTGGATCATTGATTACAAGTCGCTGAATAGAATTTCATTTCACTAGACTGGTTCCAGTCACAGTGTAGCCCATAACGTTGTGATAATGAGAATAAATTTGGAGTGATGGTGACTTCTTTTTGACAAAAGTTTCAGAACCCAGCAAGACAGAACAAACAATGATAGGTGAACAATGCTATGTTAATTCTTAAGTAGGCATGCCTGTTTTTGTACATGTATATGAAAGAAACAAGAACCTGTTCGTATTGAAGTTTTAAAAAATAAAATAAACACGGACGTACATGTATAACTAGTTATTTTCCATTGATGCACACCAAAACTATTTTGTACCATGGAGCTTCTGAAAAAGAACAACTAGATGTATAATACAACTGTTACAGTTATGAAACATGGATTATATATCCCATTGTTTATTAAACATTTGCCCCTCCCCAAGCAAAGGTGGAACAAACACACAAAGCGAAGCCCTGTCCCTGAAAAAAAGTGGAAAAAGGGTAGAAGTTGGTCTCAAACTGACCATTTTACTTTTTACAATGACTGATTGAATGGAGGTGATGGTTGCTTTAACCCTAACCCTCCTCAATCCTTCACCTGTTGGAGGACTGAGGAGTGTTAGGGTTAATCACGGCTGTTGTCTTTAAAATAATAAATATTGAACAGCTCCCTCGGCTGTCAAATAATGTCCAGTCCCCCTTCCCATATATGCTCCTATCCTTTAAGTTTATCCTGGCCAGAACCCCGCAACACAAGACTTTATGCAGGTCTTGTATAAAACAAATCATAAATAATTAACATTCCTGCAATGGTAAAAATTGCCTTTGGTGACAAGAAATGTTCCATTCCACTTTGCTTTGCCTTGTGGGATGGAACATTTCATTTCACTTCATGAAATTAGTCTTACTACTGCAGTCATAAACATTCATTATTTACATATTATTCAACATTTACCTTGTTAGGTGCAGTGTGCATGGAGGGCTGGAACCTCTATGAGCCCAGCCAGACCTGTTTCCACTCCTTTAGCACGGCCCTGGTCCAGCAGAGTGCACTAGACTACTGCACCACCACGGGCAGCAGCCTAGCCCCGGCCTCCACCAAGGAACTGCAGTACCTGACTGGTACCATCCTGCTCGGGCAGGCTGGCCAGAAGTGGTGGCTGGGCTACGAGATGCGGCGGGTCGGTGGAGCACAGCCAAATGCCAGCGACTGGGAGCTGGTGGGCCTGGCCAGCGACCAGGAGGACCTAAGCTGGATGGGGCTGGAGCCCCCTGGGGATGGGGAGGAGTTGGGAGGAGAGGACAAGCTTTGCGTGGTCATGGGGTTGGCCAGTGGCAGAGTTGAACAGCAGGCTTCGCCGTGGGAGCTGTCACTTCAGCTGTGCACCGAAAGGGCAGGGTTCCTCTGTGCGCAAGGTGAGCAAATGAAACACGACACAGTTTGAAGCCTCTGAGTCATACAGAACTTTCTCTTTGTACATCACAGCCATAGACATTGCCAACCAGTGTTGGGCAAACTTTGGCTGGCCTTCAGTAGTACCTCCTTGAGAAATTCTATTGATTCTGGACCCAACAGGTTAAAGGTCAAGGTCATTATAGATGAAACAATAAAAATATTTTTCCATTATAGCTCAAGGACTAGAAACACCAAACTTCAACTTAATAAGTGGGTTGGTCTTGGTTACCTCTGGAAGCCTATCGATAAGTCAAAGGTCAAGGTCATTCAAACATGGGTATTAGTTTTCCACATGAAGATGGGTTTTTTGATCACAATTGAAGTTACTGGGTTGTAGGCAAGGGTTTTAACACACCCCATCCATGTTTCAAATAGATGCCGAGATGGTTTGCCTGGACCGCAAGGGTAACACAGTCTGGGAGGGGGACCGCTATGTGCCCCCTGGCCATGACGCCTGTACCTCCTGCCGCTGCATTGAAGGCCGGCCGGGGATGTGCATGACCACCATGTGCGCCAAGCCCCACTGCGAGCTCTACCGGCCCGACCCGGAGGAGTGCTGCCAGTACATCTGCACGGACGGTGGCAACGGAGATGAGAAAGGCCGTAAGAGTTTTCCTGTCCCTCTTAACATTCCAAAACTAAACCCAAATGCCTCGTTGCAAGATCTTCAAACATTTTAGCCAGAGGGGGGTCTGGGCACCAGTCAGACACATGGGGTATGTTCGGCAGCACAGTAGATATGCATGTATTGGTGTATCCATTATAGGGTAATTCTGCGAGCAAAATTAGAAAGCATTACTACGGTGGCGCTGGGCTTGTGGACGGTTTTCATGGGTGCTGTCATCGAATGCTATGACTCACCAAATGCACTTGTGCTGGAATGTGGTACCAGGTTGTCAATACCAAAGATTGTATAGCGCCGCATAGGGGTGCAAGATGGAGAACTTCACTGCGAATACATGTAAAACATTGTAATTACGCAGGCACCATACGCCTGCGCAGTGCACATTACTGCATAGATGCAGGCGCCGCGGCAGGCACATGCACCTGGTGAGCCTGTGCGGAAGCATTACCGTAAACCACGCAGGCGTATCACTTGCTCAAATGGCGCCCATGGTAATTACACCTTTTGGGCAGAGTTATCCATCTTGCGCCTTCGGCGCTATACGATCTTTGGTCAATACCATCGATGATGGCATTCATACACTTGCATTTTTTTTTAATTTTCAGGAGGGATTATTTATTTAACGTAAATTACCTGCCATGCAAATAGAAATAGTTTTGCAGTCAATTTCAGTGATACATCCCTCGACAGATTACACAGGTCAGGATTAAGACTTCAGCCAATTCTTACAAGAAGGCAGTTAGAGAATAAAGTCGGCTCTTTTGATGTCACAGTCATGTTTTTCCTACAAATGGCTGCCTAAACTATGGTTGATTATTGGTACAGAAGTAAAAGTGTAATTTACAAAGTGTTCATAATCCCACACAGCTATCAGTACCCCAGATAATAATATACAAACTACTAAACGCTAAATGAAAATACAGCCCTTTTTAAAAATCAATGAGACAAATGTCCATTTGAAGGAATTGGAGGTACATGTAAGATCAAAGACCAATCAATGGGTGATATCTCTGCTAACGTTGGCTGCCCGTACACGCTGCAGGCAAGGTGAGAGTGGTCTTTTTTTGCAGAGTGAGGCAGCATCTTACCAAAGAATGCTTAAGTAGTTAGGGATAATGGACTAGTTAACCTAACCCTAATCTCAGGCACCGCTAAATACATGTACCAGTGCCTTGCCAGTTTCTGGTTTATGAGGCACACTCTGTAAATGTGAATAACGTTACCACAAGTCCTCAACACTGATGAACTGGATTTCACATTTTGCCCTAGTTTGTGGTAGGGCCACAAGGTTGCAGAGTGGTTGTCTGGGACAAGATGTGCTTGTATCTGAAAGTTATAGCTGTGGCTTGAACTGCTTTAAACACTTGTGTTCGTGGAAGCTATTGGTTAGTGGCTATGGCTAATTCCCATTGACATAAGTGTTTTTCTCAGTTGTAGCCTTTTGATTTGGACACAGGCTAACAGCACTGATTAAAGGATTTTCTTAGAATCACTTTGTGTGTATCTCTGTACTCTTCTTCCATGTATGAAGACTGTTTGACATCGTGTTTGAGTTGGGTGAACTGAATAGTGCACTTTTTTCAAACATTAAAAATTGACCAAGCATTTCTGAACAAATGAGGGTGCTTTTGCTTTGATGTAACTCCAGAAAGACATGGTTCAGGTTGCATGTTTTCATGTTTAAATTGTGAATCCCAAATTTGCTATCTGGAAACATTTCTGTGAAAAGGATTTTGCTGGATTATTGCCATATACTTACACAGCAATAAATTGCCAAAGAAAATAAAATCTGCCATAGCAGTGGTTAAAAAAATCAAGAAATTGTTCATGCACAAATCAGTGAAACATTGAGACTCAGTGCCTTGGATGACATCATAGTTCTGCTCATGAATATGGAAATATGCATTAGCATAAAAAACAAAAACTGCCCAAATATGGGTTAAAATGGCAAAACAAAAATTCAAAATAAGGTTAATTGAAATAAAGATGCAATTTCAAGGGTTTGTAGTAGATTTATAAAAATATTTCGATTTTCTGGTTCGAAAGAAGCATGCCAATAGAGGCTTTGCATGGTAGCTGCTCAGGGCAGTTCTTCTGTTCCACAGGGAAACCTCCTTTGTGCACAGCCTGTGGATCAAAAGCATTGGCCTGCAAGATGGCAGCCATGCAAACCCTCTGTGCCAAGGATGACCATGGCTTATGCATTTCATATTGTGTCACTAGAGTCCCAAACTGCCTTCACTGTGTAACATTGGGTTCTTCTATGATTTGGAGTAGTGTTGCAAGCACTATATGTTCATTGGTTTCCCGAGAGGTTTGTAGGAAATATCTTGGCAAATGTATTCAGGTGAGTTGGTAGCCCCTACTGACACCGGTATCATGACCTGAGCCACTAGGCCATACATTAACTAAATACTGGTTATGTTATGTTGTTTATGGCTTGTCGTCACTGCCAACTTGACACGTTTGTGGGATACTGGATTTAGGAGAATTTTTTTTCCCCCCTCATCCGCTTCCACAGTGGACGTGTCAGATAACATGCGCTGGGTGCTGACCATGCTGACTTCCTTTATTCTGTTGGGTATGATGCTGTTTATGGTGTACCGCATGAGACAGAAGAGAATGGCTTATCTACGATACAGTAAGTGCGGCGTCACACTCTTCATGCCATCGTTGTAATGGACGAATACTAATTCTACACTTTGTGGGCTCATACTGAGCCTGTTGGACTGCAGTGGGGGTATTGTGTCCCTGGGCAAGACATTTTTCCACAATGAATGAATGAATTAGCCTTTCTTTTTGAAGTGGGAGGAATCAAACTGTCCATGTAAATTCGCCTTGGGAATGACAAACTTCAAAATGCCCTATGGCCAAGTGAGACTGTATAGTACTGATGTAGTTTCTCGTACAGATTGTTGGTGGATATGTTCACTAACAGACAAATGTTGCTAATCCAGATTTTGGTAACTTTAAAGAGACTCTAATTTAAGGGTAATTCTGGTATTTTCCGGTTATTCGTGACATTCTTTTGACCTCAGTGATTTATTTTGTTCTTGTGTCTGCTCAGGAGCCCAGCAGATGAGAGAGGGCAACATGGTGGACTTTGAGCCCGGGACTGGTCCCCCGCCTCCCCCCAATCTGGATGACATTGACGGCGCTGTCTACAGAGAACCCCCACCCCCATACTCGTGAGTCCTCAGACACAACCCTTTAAGTGATATCTGACCTGATGCAGCATAGCCCTATTCAGTCGAGGTTTAGTAGGTTTTAGGGACATTAACACTAATGTCCATGAGGTTTCCGCTAAGGACCTCCCAAACCCTTCAAAATCCACCACTTTGCTGGAATTAAGTGGAACATCTTCCTATTGTGCTGGAACTTTCTACGTGCATCAAACCCCATGTACAATAATGGTGGCTGGGCTCTAAATTCCTTCATCCTGTTGGATTTTGATATGGATATGAGAGGTCTATAGCTAAGTATAAGTCCTTTGGATGAGGCTGTTGAAGGTCTGTAATTGGCTGAACTGTGGTTTTCATGCTTAAAGTACCTTTGCTTTGTTAGTTGTACTCACATATCAAGTGTGGACCCTCCAAGCAAAGAAGTGTACATATTGTAGGATCATATGACATTGTGTGGACTCACACAGGATCAAGGTTATCCGTGGTGAAGACAGCCTGTCAAGGAAATCGTTACCCCCCCTCCCCCAGAATCCAGCTTGAAGGAGTTTTCCTAAAGTGGGGGAAAAACTGAGCATTTTTCCAAGTTTTCTTGATGACAGGAATACAGCAGAATTTACACTCTATGTGATGTGAAACAATCCTGCATGCGTTTTTCTTGATTTGTCAGGTTTGCCAAGGATGAGCAGCACATTCCAACTGAACAGCCCCCGCCCTACATCTCCACAGTCTCGTTGCCCATGGACGTCAACCGCAACCGCGATCGACGTTGCGTCTTCCAGCAAGACAGCGATGCAGTGGCCCTGCTGGACAGCTCCATCAGCTCAGAGCCAAACACACCGACGCTCATTACAGGTGAGTCTGGGTGCTAGACCCATTAACCTGTATGTTCTCTTTTTTTGGACTTCCAAAGGATGCCATTGCTCAAACCTTTAGTTTGGTTTAGGATACAGTACCAGTGGCGGTGTGAATCCCACTTAAAGGCTCTGGCTGTCTATTTGGATTTGAGGCCTTGATATGAATGTAACTTCTAATAAGACCTCGGTCAAGTCATAGCCTGAAGTGGGGTATGTGCCAAGTGAGAGAGAGCTGGCATGATATTGAGCCAACTGGCACGCGTTAAGTTGTGGTTTTGGCACGTGTGGTTTTGGCACAAAAGGCAGACACTCAGAGGTGACAACAGATCCTTCCTGTCACCGATAGTTGATCGCATTCAAAACTTGTCCTCGAAATTGTCTCTTCTTAATCCGTGGGGGGAAGAGATGCATAATGGGAGCATGGTGCTTTGTCATCTAAGGCTCAGGAGTTCTTGACAGTAAATACTGTACATGCATTGTGTTGTTGCATGGTACGTCTGTGCTGTCTTGTAAACCTCACTTGTTGTTGATGAAGGAGAGAGGGTGAAGAGAAGGGGACTTAAAGTTAGCGATGTAGACCTAGCCTAGGCATATTCACTGCTTGCCTGTTACTTGCTAGGTATAACCTGTGCGGCCGTGGAAGAAAATTAGTTGTATGTGTCTGACATGAAAAGAGTGTTTCACACAGTGTGGTTACCCCACTGGATGGCATCTCTAAGTTGCAAAACACTTTTCCTTTCAACCCCCCGGTGCCTAAAAGACTTCAGCTATTGTACGCTAACCTGAACCCGCAGTCAAGACTGATTTTGCTCTTTTGTGTTATCTGAAGCCGTTCCGCCAATTCTGCCCAGTCCTCCCGGGTACACCGGCAGCACTGAGAACAGCACCGTGTCATCACCGCAGACGGAGCAGAGCACCCCAGGGGGGGAGAGTGCGACTGCTGTAACACCCACACATCAAACCATTCTGCCGTCAATCAACACCACAGTTTGAGCCCGAAGGAAGAGTTCCATAGCCCCAATCAAATTTTCCAATTATCCCAAAATATCCTTGGCCTCGAGCACAGTTAGACTTTAGTGATGATCTTCAACTTAATGTCCTTGTAACCCTATTAACCATGTTTAACCCAAACGATATCCAACAGTGGCCACTTTCTGTGGGATTTTGTTGTGATCGGTGAACAAGAGGCCCTCTCTTCTCGCTGTTGGACTCTGTCGGGTTCAGCAGGGTGCCCAGAGAAAAACTGAAGGATGTTTTTGGGTACCCCTAACAGTCCCAAATCCTCTGATTTCAATATAATTTTACATACACCCTGGGGGGTTAGGGTTAATGTTGCATTTCCTCAACCATGTCCGTGAACAATTACGAACATGTTTGTGCAGTGTCCATATCACTGTTCAACCCAGATTGTCACAAAACCGAAATGATCACAAAACCCTGTGGAAGTGCTTGCCGTGCATTAGCTTATGGCTTGTCTCACTTAGCAGACTTTTTCTATATCACATTAACAAATTGCCTTGACTATGATTGAACTTGCTGCTTTTGGAGTAATGTGCTAGCCTTCTGCCAACCAAGCTGTGAGGGTTTCTTCTGTACTCGCAAGCTGCAGGAACTGAAACCCCCAGTGTTTAAGGAGGTTAAGGCCACATGCAGATCACATGTCTAGTTTAGACAACTAAGTGTAGGTCTTTACCTAGTGCAAATATGTTTGTTGCTTGTAACACGGCCTTGTTCCAAATGCCATTAATCCCCACAGAGCTGTGTCAAGTTGCCAGAACACTAACTCACTCTGCAGAATGAAGCCTGCTTGGGGCATCCATGTTTGTGCATAAACCTATAGAAAACTCAAAATGTTGTATGGATCTTTGCAGATCTACGCCTGTGTTCTAAAATGACGCACCAACAAAGCCAATACGCCAAAAACCCAAATGCACAATCAGTTTTTATACTGAGCATTTGGTTTGGCCCTAACAACGAGAGCATTGTGCTACAGATGAATATTTCGGAGGCTTTTTTTTTTCATCACAGAAATTCTAAAACTATATTTACGTATGTTACCATGGCGCATTGCATTCAGAGTATTCTAAAAAAAAAATACGCATATGGATTCAAAATGTGTACACCCAAACATATTGCATGGGGGATGACATGTCATTGCTCTAGCAATTTATTAATATAGCTTCTATTATGAATCCTTACTGTACTGAAAACAAAATATCACAGTCAGATATTGAGGTGTTTCAAGTGGAGCAGTGGTAAGCACTCGGCTGTTTTTGTAATAATGAATCATTTCAAGCTTGATGCACCGTGGCGTCATCGTTAACGGAGTCATGGTCCAATAAGCCTTTTGTGAGTCAAATTTGAATAAAATCTGGTACACTGAGTTCTTTAAATTCACATGAACATAATTGGAATTCTCCATACTAAAGCCACTGTTGCTATACCTCGTGATTCGGGGTGAGCTTTTGCTTAGTTACATAAGAGACGCCTTGCAACAATACACTGTTCTCAATGGAAAAGAAGGGCACAAAGAAACCACTCCATTCCAGAGATGGTGGTTGCTAAGCAAAAGCTTGCCTTGAATCATGAGGTATAGCAACAGTGTCTTTAGTCTGGGGACTTCAAATTGGTAAGTTTATGTGCAATCAGATAACTCAGTGTACCAGATTTTATTCAAATTTAATGTGCAAATGGCTTATTTCACAGAGCTAGAAATTATAGCTTAGGCGTGAGGTCAAAATGCAGACGGATTAGAAACAGTTCAACGGTTGGTGTTAATGCCCCTTCGTTTCGTTTGGCGGTTAGTATGGACAGTTCAACGGTTTGAAAAGAACCGTCTGCCCTGGACTGTGTAGCTTCACGGGCAACTGGAGGTTACATGCACCTTTTCCCTGTGGCAATTTTTTTATCCATATAAAAGGGTTTTCTGTGTCAACTCTCAGTTGTGAAATAAGATTTTTTTAAATCTTTCCCTGCCACATTTTTGTGAGGATGATTTCATTGATTGCAATTGTTACTTGCTTTTTATACATACATATATACACGTAGAATCTAATATTACTCAACACTAAGGACTGTAAAGCTTCAAGTAACGTTAATATTGCAGCACATGATATATCAATGCATGTTGTTTTCCCATTAAGGTTGCATGTAATCAAACCTGCGCTGTATATATGCCCCCAAAAGGAGGGCAGTGTTGAATACATCCCAAGGCACATGGAATGCATTTTCCATTCCCAAAAGGTAATCAAGGATATGTGCCAGGAGGCCCGCTGGAGTGAAAGATAAGCAGAAACTCCTGCCTGTGTAACAGGTGGTTTTTCTTTCATTTCTCTGATTATGTGTTTACCTAACCCACTCGAAAATATGGTAGTGTGACCTCATGCGCACCGTTTCATGATGACTATAAAGGACACCCACCCAGGGTAGCATTTTCCAGGGCACTACGATGGCACATGGCTATGTCAACAAACTTTGTCAAAGCACTGTAAGGTACTGTGTGGCCGCAAAACACCCGAGTATCAAAATATTTTGAAACACCTGTTATCCGTTTAAAAATAGATGAGAAGGGATTGAAAAACATCAAAATCGACCCCCTTCTACTGTTAATTGTTCCACCACTTCCTTGCTAAAGACAGGTTTGCCTTCCCTTACCCCCAGAATAGAGTACCCAACCCCCTCCTGGAAAAAACCTGGCTATAATGTGCAGATCTTCACACAGTACAGTGGACTATGAACTTAACACAAAGCGCAAATTGTATGTATGCAACATACTGCTGGCTAGTGCTCTGTGCTGTGTTTGTCCAGAGCACTGATGCCTCACTGCTGTCATTCAGTAGTTTTGTTGGCTGATCTTGTGAGGCTAGATACTGGGTCCTGCCGTAGCGCATGCAGTGAGGTATTTCATGAGTATGCATGTTTGACGTATGTTCGTTCTGAATGTGCATGCCAGGTTGGTGTAGCTGGGGGAGTCAGGTTGGTGTAGTGCCTCTTTCCTTGCCTTCCATCTCTGCAGCCCGGGTTCGAATCCCACCTAGGTCAGCACGTGGATTTGGTTTTCAGTCCCTGCCTGATTCCATGTGTAATCTTTATCTGGGGTTTCTTTCCACTTCTAAAACTGAACATTTCTTCGTTGTCTTCTTCACTGTCACTTCATCGTGTAATTGACGTACATGTGCAGTCAGATGAACAGAAATAAATAAATTTTGAAGAGCATGCCATGCACGCCGTCGAGGTAAAATTTGATACATGTATGACTGAATGCAGGCATTAGCAATAAAAGTTTTAGCTTGAGGAGTCATTTTGATAATCAAGTGAGTCCGTCAGTTATGAGTATGATTGTAAGCCAGAAGTTGACCAACTTGTGTTGACGTTGGTATATTCGAAATGATGACTGTGTATATAATTGATACGGTGAGAATGGGAACGACAACGTTTTTGCAGATATATATTTTGTACTACCGTGGTCTGTTGTGTGTTTGTATGTTACCACTAGAAGGCAGGTCTGTGGCATGTGAAAGAACACTACCCGTATGAAAATGTGTTATTTACCTATCCATATGTCATCCATGCTGGTGTATTTGCCAGTTCCTTTGACAAAGTTGCTTGTAGTTTTGTCTTGTCCATTCTTCCTGGTTGGTAGTTGTTGATTAGAGGATGTTTACACTTTTGGTCTCTGGTCACATTGAGGCATTCACCTTTGGGGGATAAAAAAAATACCAACATGCTTACCCACCACCTTGCAGGCTTGTGATAAATTCCTTCCTAGCTCAGTCACAAGTTGAATCGCAAGTCAGTCGCAAGTAAGTCAGATGACCAGCCAACCTGGATGACTTGTGGTTGGGGGCGGGGTCTGGACCACAGCACTGTCTTCAAGGTTTGCAAGAGTCACTCGTGAACAGGTGTAAGAAATGCCTCTGCCATGCCTCCCTAACTTATGGGCAAAGTTTCACGTCTTCCAAGAGGAAACAGAGCTGTGGTTGCTTTTTTTTTCCCCTGGTAGCACAGGGTAACGAAAGAGACTTTTATCTAAACGCCTTGCCCCGATCAACCCCAGCAGTGCCCTGTAGGCACCTACATGAAATGAAATATTTCACCAAATGTCTAAATCGGGTCATAAATGATGAGTTGAAGTAACGGATCCAGTTTGGCTGGCTCATTTTGACATTTTCACCAGGTGTTTATTTCTGATGTCATGTCGGTAAAAAAAAAAGGAGTCAGAGGCATAGTGTAATGTCATGCAATCTGAATATCTCACAGTCAGCAGTATTTTAATGTCAAAGGTTTTGAGGGGAATTTATCTGTAAGCTCTACATGCAATTGCATATGTTCCACATAGTGCAAGGCTGACATGGAAGAGACACACATGCACTTCACTACATTATTTTGTGTTCTTACATTTGTGGAATTCTGAATTTTAAATCTTCCCTTGGTGCTTGTGCTCTACTTTTTAATTCCCGGTTGACTATGCTGCTTTGTCTGAATCTTTATGCCTTAGGGGCGCGACGTGCTTTACCTTGGAATAGTGCAATATGGGTGTTCCAATATGGGCTGTGGTATATTGGTGTACATGTACATTGCATTGTCTGTTGCCACCGAATCGACCTGAGGTAGAACTGAAGTTGGTTCCAAGATGAGCACATGATGTGTTATGTGCCATTCACTGACCTGCCACTCTGTGTGATGTGACAGTTGGTTTTGATGTCGGGGAAATTCCATCAAAAGAGAGCACTGTTTTGGACCGATTAAATTGGAAATGGCAGTTTGGTTTTTGGCTCTACTGGGGCATCTAAATGCATGTACATTGTAACTGGGAACTCAGTAGGAATAAAGGAGGAAAATTCCACATCTCGCAAGATTTTGCACCATCTTTTCGATGTCTAAAGGCACATATGTAAAACGGCAAAAAAGAAAAGGAAATTTAGCTGATCTGAACAAAAGTTGTATGCCTACATGAATACTCATTTGCTATTTTGACACATGTTGTGTCATTGAACAATTTTTGTATACACTTTAACCAGTGGCGTAACTAGGGCCATTATGTTGGGGGGGGGGCACCCGGGGTGCACACATTTTTCAAGGGGGCACCAAAAGACAAAGAGCTGCAACAGAGGTTGTTCCATGGATTTCAAATAGGGGGGGGGCACTTGGCGGGGATGCTCTCCCCCCCCATAGTTAAGCCACAGATGTTAACACAGTACAAAAAGTTGCATGTACATAGCTGGGATGTTCGTATAGCTGTGTTTAATTCAGAGTGGCTAAGCCAATATACATACAAACAGTAAAGTTCAAACAGTTGATATACATGTAGCATGGTTGCCCACTACTGAGGTGAGAGATAAACATGTAAAATTGCAATACAATTTGACCTAGAATTCTGTTGTCGTCATTTATGGTGCATGGTCTCAGCATGTATGCCTACTTGCATCAAGCACCTCACTGGGAAGGTTGATGTAGATAAGCCATCTTTTTTTGGTAAAATGGGTATTTTGTGACAACAGTGTGTCCAATATTCATAACATTGGTGTCACAGTGATATGTGAGACAATACTAAAACAGGCGAGAAGATGCGGGGGGGGTTCGATTTTCCCCCACCTCTTTCAGGGTTAAACAAACAGCATAGCAATCCAGATCATTTTCTTTTTGCAACTTTGCAAACCACAAAAAGTTCCTCCACACATTCACAGAGAAAAAAAATGGAGTACGGCCCGTATTGTTTTAAGTTTTGACATTCAGTTATTTCCGCACGATTTCTTTGTGTAATGTAAAGTGCAGTAAAAATTATCAAAAAGCTGTGCACATCTTAGTGATATTACTGGATCTTTTGTTTGTTAGTGAACCATCGGACAAGACTACCATTTTGGAATGAAATATTTCCTGAAAACTGTTGTATCTCCGTTCGGTGATTTGAAAACTATAGTGTTATCCCTAACTATATTTTTGTATGTTAGCTAGTTGTTTATCGGCAGTTAAAGTACGAAGACGTGATTTCTGTTAGTCTTTATGCGAGAGTAGTGTCATGTTTGCCTCTGTCTTTTTACAACGAAGAACCGTGTTCTCCTGGGAGAACAGCATGATTCTTGTGAAACTTTGAAGAAGTGGATGAGACACTAGTGTCACGCTGTAGAACTTGTTTCTGTGGAAGTGTATATACAGCCCTCCAAGTTCCACGATTCCTAAGATAGTTTTATGCTGTGAGGAGTTATAGTGCGCTTGTATATCTCTGAGGACATGTCATTGGAATCTGTGTTTCTGTATGTCAGAGAAAGTCTCTTTAATAAATTATGCCAGTAATGAGGCAACTTTGTTGTTTTAAAAAAATCTATTGATTAGTTAAATGAATTGCTATTTACTTTTGATTTTCTTCCTTGTAAATTCGCCGAGTATGAAATATGGAGTTACTTCAAGAATGGCTTTATCTTCTCTTGTGATCAGTTTGTAAGATCTTTAATTCATTGTTCATAGGCAGTGAAATGTGAAGATGAAACGGTGGACTTCACTCAGTGAGACTTCCAGTGGGTCCTTTTTGAATTGTGAATTTTTCCTTGTCCATGTATGGCAACAAATATTTGCATTCTTGAGATATTTTGAACATGAAATTTACCCAAGAATGTGAACAATAGAGATGTCATAGGCTCTGGGTACTTATTCAGTGGTGAGGATAGTACAGAAAGTTTTCAATTTATTAAGCTTAAAATTTATCAAGTGGAAAGAAACTTTATTCCTTCCTTGATTCGATGATTTATAACAGGTAACAATTGTAAATATTTTCTGTATTTTATTAACATCACCTGAAAGGTCTGATTAAAACCATTAGCTTAAACAGAGAACAACCGTCTTTGACTTAATTAGTATATGTGGGAATCTCAATCAAATTCTTGGTCAGAAAATACAGAATGAATAAATATGATTACAATATTAAAATCTTGTCACGGAATAAGTTGAATGAGATTGCTAATAAATTGAAAAATAAAAAAAGGATTCTGTGACAAAGGAAGCAGTGTAAAACACTACTGGTCAGAAGATAAGAATATTGGATGCTGGCAAATTAAATGAAGCAAATTGGCAGGGAAATACTCAATTCCAACTGAATCGATCGACGAGACATCGCAGGTAACATTTGCATGCTTTGGGATCTCTGAGCAATCTTTGTGTACATTGATTGTATGGCGTTAAATTGATTAAGATGTACTCAAGCAAAACTGTTCATGAAAACAATGCATCATGTATATATACAAGTCTCGGCCTCACTAAATACAATTCCACAACGTTAATAACGGCACAACTTGGTTATGAAAAACGAAGCCTTGTGTTCAAGAATTAAATACTGGAGCAAAGCATTGATGGAATTACAGTGCAAAATTCCTGTATGTATGATACACTGTACTTTAAATGTGAATTAAACAAAATATGACTCACTGAAATTGGGTACATGACTTCAACTTCTCAATTTTAAAATGTTGGGAATTTCAATTTTTTTTTTAATATATAATATCTAGTACTGACAGGTGATGTTTTATTTCCATTTGTTCCAAGTATCAGATTGAAAGAATGTACCTCGGCACAGTGAACGTTAACGGTGAAGACACTGATCAAAGTCTGCATATACATGTCCAAATGTACACTGTATTATTATGAAATGTTTCATGCGCATTCAGTGCTGTATTTGAGCCCTCTTCTGTCAACAGGCTAATGCCTTCACATGTTATTAACGTGTACTTTCATGCTGTTTATTTCCTTGTAAATTGTAAACTGCTTAAAAATATTTTGATCTCTTCATTTTAGCTTTTGCTTGAAAGACTACCATCTCATACAAGAACATGCATCAATTGCTAAGCAGTCATGTATTTTAGATAGGTCAATTTCTGGCAGGATGTTTCTCTGTTGGGCAATTTTTCAGTTTTAAATATGCTACTATAGCATATAATTTACAAAGGCTATTACAGAGGTGAATTTTATCAGAAGTAAACGAACGGGAAAGAAATTGGAAACTCTAAACTTTTGCACATATTTCATATCCAGGAGTACTGGAAGCACGCCATCAGGGGTCAACTTTAAGAATCTTGATTTTTTCATCAAATTTGCTTTATAAATTGTGGAATAGGATGGTATCAGACTATTTTAAAATTCACGCGGTTTCCTAGCCTCCCCTTTTTCCCAAATCTTACTAAAACACCAAAGTATGTTTCATCACATATGAAATTATTCATCAGAGTCGCCAGGTACTAATTTGACAGGAAGTCTCATTTTATTCTTTCACTAATGAATGCTCCAAAAATGAAACCTTTAACCTTATTTTCAATTTCAATGTGAATGGCCCATGAATAAGGTCCATTATTCCGTCCATGGATTTCTGCAAGACAATTACATGCACTGAGCTATATTTAGCGTTAAAATGAGCATGTTTCTTAATTTTCCTCAAAGTAGTGAAATAAAGAATAAGACATCCATGAAATGATACACAAAGTAGACAACAAAGCAGCAGATGGGCCACTTTTGAAAAATTACAACAAATGAAAATGTCGGGTACAAAGTAATTTTTTGAAAGGTATGAAGAGCTATGAATATTGCATCAATATGCTGACAAATCTTAACTGGAAAAATTATGTTTAGCAGTGCAAACGGCTTAAACTTTTCCAACAATTCTTTAAAATAAAAGTACAGTTGAACTTCGTTAATAAGAGGTCCCTCGGAATTGGCAAATCACCTTGTTACAACAGGAACCTTGTATTATCGAGAAGGAAAGCAATGAAAAACAAAAGATCAGGACTTAGAAATGTTCATGTTATAAGCAGGACTTGTAGTAACAGTGCTCTTAATAACGAGGTTCTACTGTATTACTTGTAAAAGGAAAACTTCAGCTTTACTGAAACTAGGGGAGAAATTAATTCATCAATCAAAAAAACAAATCAAAAAAGTTTGTCTGCATTGCTGCAGATATAAAAATATGTTGATTTTTCCAATGCATTAAAACCAAAGTGTATTTACAGGTATATCACATCCATTATATTGGCTCAGGTAAATAGTTCTTTAGTACATCATGTATCACAATGTTAGTAACAAAAAGCTCATCCTTTTTTCATTTTAGAAGAAAACTGTTCTATATCCCTCTCTGACAAACAATACGGGCTTTTCACAATAGTGTGCCTCCAAGAGTTTGAAACGCATCAGCCAATCAAAGTGCGCGGAATTTGTCGACCCAAAGCGTGTTTGGAAAGGGTTGACAAATTTCGCGCGTTGTGATTGGCCAACGCGTTGCAAACTCTTGGAGGTGCACTATTGTGAATCGCCTGTATTGAGAGGCCTTGGATCAATTTCGGTGTGCGTATCTGCAAGATTAAAACCCGTAAAATGGCACAGAATTTAAGTTGTCAGTCAAGAGAAGATTGTTAAATTCTTAAAATCTACTAAAAGTATCTAAATGGAAAATTGCAATTGACATGAAAAAAAAAATCCAACACACCCGTGTACAAATAAACCAACATGACTGAGGTTTAACCTCACCACACTCCCATTGACAATGATCAATGTGAAATTAAAAAAACAAAGGCCTCGGCTTGTCATTTAAGGAAATGTCTCAATGTCACAGTCTAACTGGTAATAAAATAAACGTTAGATGTGTCACTGAGATAAAGCTGAACATTCCTGAATCATCCAATTGCAATATAACATGAAAGAGTTGGATAGGGTTAGGAAAAATCACTGCCTTGTAAGGCAATTTACAAACAGTCTGTACAGCTTAAAAATCTAGCCTCTACAATTATGTCCAATTTACAAGAATCTTGTCAACGTATGTCAGAAATTGGGCGATTACACTCATGGATATTTATAAGCCAATGCAGTTGTTTCATTGGTCATCTATCTTTCTCATCTAAGAAGCTTCCAGAGTAGCGCACTCTGTGTTAAATGCGTTTACATTAGTCTCTTTGGTAGTACACATATCCTCACTTGTTTGGTGTCCAGGCTACAGGAACCACTGATACTGCAATCAAGTAAATCAGTAAACCGACTCAATTCTTTGGCTTGCAAACAGCGTATGAAAATGCTGACCAAATGGAGACTGCCAAAGCGTAACGTAACTTTAGAGAGTATTCAAAGAGAGTAAGAAATGCATGCAACATAGATTCTGATGCACCTCCCTCTGAATTTTTCAGAGTTCAAATGAATGAATATCTCTGGATCATTGATTCTGCACTGCACCTGTTAATCACTGCATTGGTATTGCAAAACATAAAAAATCATCAAAATGATGAAAACAAAATCACTACCACACTCACGTTTATCTGAGCAATGCAATATTTAATCTAATGCCCAACAACTGATATCAGTGCACTGGTATCCCTCCCTAATCACACAAACTCCAACACCTTGAAATCAAACTCTTACCTTTAAAACAGTACCCAATCACACAGACTCCAACAGTACTGTTGCTGTGACTACCCAATCAGACAAACTCCAACAGGTCTTTGCCTGTGTGATTTGTTTGATTGGGTTCAGCAGGCCCACTGCACAGTACAAAGAGTATGGACGGGCAGTATCTATTCAAACAAACTTACACACCATCATGCTGCATATTCATCCCCAACTGCTGGGATCATTGTGGTGAGGGAATGGCGTTTGTCCTTGTTATGGTAATTATTACATAATATTATAATGGAGGCATGTAGCCAAGTAGTTAGGGTTTGAAGCTTCCAATCATAGGGTTGGAGGTTCGAGTCCAGTTGCTGGCAGTATGTTGTGGCCTTTGGTAAGCCACTTCACCCCCACTTTCCTCTCTCCACCCAGGAGTATACATGAGTACCAGCATTAGCTGGGGAAGCAACCTCTGATGGACTGGCATCCCATCCAGGGGGAATAGAAATATTCTCAGTAGTTTCATGCCAAGGAAACTGGAGATAAACACCAGCCTGATGAGCTAAATTAACTCGGACCAGACTTGCTATATAATATTACATATTACATACTTACTGTTTCAGTAGGAAGCTTTCCATCATTACATTATCTCTAAAAATACTGTACTCAGATAATTACGGATAATCTGCCTTCATTTAAAATTCCTGATAGTAAAAAAAACTAAAAAGTGAGAGGGCCACAGTACCCATTCAGCCAAAATTCAACAGGGTAAGTGCAGACCTACAGTCGAATCCAACACCATAAAGCAAGTTCCCAATACCTAATTCCACAAAGTCAAACACGTTACTGGTGTTGAAGTTTGACTGGTTCGGCACTGTTAGGGATAAAATATGCCACAACACCCAATGGCTGAACGATGAAGAAGTGTTGGTGTCTGGTTATATCTCATTTTTGGGCAGCATCTGGCTGTCACTTTTAACAGAAGCAGCAGAGACAGGTGGGATGGACACATTGCAGTGGTCTACCACTTCAGGGTGCCCGGGATGTACTTGTCGATGAGCGTCTGGTAAAACGGCTGGAGGGCGTCCAGGTCAGGTAAACTGTCACATTTGGAATACAGGTCGAATTGGCTGCAAGGGGTGAACGAAAGCAAAGAGAAAAAAAGCAATATTCTAGAAGCAGAAAAAAAGACTGAAGATTAAACAGCTTTTTTTTTGAGAGAGAGAATGACACAATAACTTTATTGATGGTAGCCTTGTTACCAGTGAAATGATTTTCAATGGGCAGCAGGGTCTCCATCTAGTGACCCGTTGTCCTGTCTTTTGGACAGGTAGTCTGCAATTGTGGATAGGCACTTTAAAAAAAGAACAATAAGCTCCTGGGTAGAATTTTGCAAAATGAACAAAAATGACAGGCCAATTTGGGATAGAAATGTACATATTCTGGAAGAGCTTAAATTGCATTTTGTTAAGTACAGTCACAAAAATACCCCATAAACTGAGCAACGGACCGACCAGCCGGCTATGCTGATCTATGTCAAGTTGTTTGTAGTGTGCACTTCATGCAGGCACAATACATGTGTACTATTCACAGGTATTACGATCACATAGACTGGTTCCCCGGGGGGAGGGGTCAGTCAATATGACCATGATAAGTCAAAATTACCTGGCGTCCATAACCACTTCATGTGATTGTGCACGGCACTGCAGACGCAAGTGTATTAGTCGGACACATGTACTTATCTAACAGCCCACTGTACTGCTGGTCTGCATGTATACACATGCGGCAATGATACATGTACAGTGTTAGCAGATCGCACAGAACGGGTACTTTGAACTGCACAACGGAAAGACAGGCAGTTTTGGAAATCCTTGACGAAACCCTGATTGGCTAAACGAGGAATACAAGGATGTGCGACTGACATTAATTACAATGTAATGAAGATGACGAAAATGTTCGGTTCTTAGAGGTGGGAGGAAATCCTGATGAATAAGCCGAGG